CGAGACCCACGCCAAACTAGCAAAACTGAGGGCTCCTAGCTATACCATCGAAGACGGAAGGCTCTACAAACGGTCCTACAATGACACGCTACTTCGGTGCCTTCATCAAGATGAAGCCGAGGTCGCAATGGAGGAAGTGCACAGTGGCACTTGCTCGGCTCACCAGGGACCCTTCTCCATTACCGAAGGCTCATTCTCCAGGGCTACTTCTGGCCAACCATGGCCAGAGATTGTGCTGACCTTGCCCGAAGGTGCACCGCATGCCAACATTTCCAGAAAGCCTCCGGCAGGCCAGCGGTCAACTATGCCCCCATCAGCACATCCGTCCCCTTCGCTCGATGGGGCATAGACCTTGTGGGCCCTCTGCCGAGGGGTACCTCCAACAACAGGTACATCATAGTGGCCATCGACTACTTTACCAAGTGGGTGGAGGCTGAGCCCCTCGCCAGTATCACAGAGGCAAAGTGCCGTCACTTCGTCCTCAAGAACATCCTCACAAGGTTTGGCGTCCCCCAGCAGATCATCTCCGACAACGGAACACAATTTGAGGCAGCCCCCTTCTGTGCCCTTCTAGAGGCATGGGGCATCAAACACACATTCTCCTCCGTTGCCTACCCTCAAGGCAACGGCCAAGTAGAGAACGCCAACCATACCTTGCTCGAGGGCCTCAAAAAGAAGCTGGAGGCCGAAGGCGGTGGCTGGGTAGAAGAACTCCACAACATCCTTTGGGCCTACCGCACCACCCCTCGGCGGGCAACAGGCGAAACACCCTTCTCCCTCTGCTACGGGTTTGAAGCCAAAGCTCCTACGGAAGTCACCCTTCCCACCCGGAGGGTGATCCAATATGACCCTGAGGTCAACGACAGCAACATGGCCCTCGACCTCCACCTCCTTTCAGAACGCCGGGAGCAAGCCTTCATCCGGGCAGAAAACTACCGAAGGCAAGTCAAAGGCTACATCGACGCCAGGGTTCGCACCCGAGATTTCCAAGTGGGGGACTATGTCCTCCGGAGGAGGGAAGCCAGCCAACCGACCGAGGGAGGCAAAATGGCTCCAAAGTTCGAAGGTCCCTACATCATAGCAGCCATCATCAAACCTGGGACTTACAAGCTCAAGCGCCCCAACGGGAAAGAGGTCCCTAGGCACTGGAATGTACACCACTTAGTTAAATTTTATCAATAATGTAAGAGCGGTCAAGCCCTCATAACTAGTGAATGTACTATCCTATGGCCTAAGGCCTCCAATTTTGAGGAATGAAGACACATTCAAGACACCAAGAACAACCGCAAAACACTTATGAGCGGCCAAGCCCTCATACCAACTACAGGCCCCAGGCCTCACCACGAGAAGAACCCCCTCCGGCACCGAGTGCCGAGGACGGACACCATCAACACCTTCAACAACAGTGGAAACACCAAGTGTTTCAAACAAGACCCCTCGGTACCAAGTACCGAAGGTGGGAACTCCCATCACCGGCAACAGGAAACACCAAGTGTTTCATTTCAAGACCCCTCGGTACCAAGTACCGGGGGTACACATCTCCACCATCAACATTAAAGAGAAGAACACCAAGTGTTCCTACAGAAGACCCCTCGGTACCAAGTACCGGGGGTACACAACTCACCCATCAACGTCAAATAGGAGAAGAACACCAAGTGTCCCTACAGAAGACCCCTCAGGACCAAGTACCGGGGGGCTACATATCGAAACTAACACCAAGCGTTGTTTCTAAAGCCGTACCCCACGAGGACGCATATACCGAAGACGCCACCATCGGTGCCGGCGGCACGTAGTGCCCCCGGCCATTTGCAACTAGTGTGCAAATGAAAACCCTTCCTTGAAACGCTTTCCGCGTCACTACCCCCAGGGTATGACAGGCATGAGAAATGCCCAGGATTCGACTTTCAAAAATTGAACGCTTTCCGCGTCATCACCCCAAGGGTATGACAGGCACGAGAAATGCCCAGGATTCGACTTCCAAACCGAAACGCTCCCCGCGCCACCACCCCAAGGGTGTGGCAGGCCACGGAATATGTCTAGCGCCGAGGGGACGACTTTCAAAAATGAGGCGCTTTCCGCGCCATCCCCCAAGGGGAGGCAGGTTACAGACCACCATATCTTGTACCCAGGAAACGACCCTCGATCCCCTCGGAACTCGGAAGGTTAACCCGAGGGAGGAGAGCCATTGGTGTATTCTGATGGTCTCCTGATAGGCCCAGCCTTACCAAGAAACCAAGTTTCTTGATGCCTTCCCTTCACCACCAACCAAAAAAAAAAACAGAGGGGGTGAAGGGGAGTAGACTCATCGAGAAATCAATGAGTACAACACTCCAACAAATCACAGCATGCCGAGGGCTCCCTACGGGGACACCTTCGGTAACTGAAGGCTCCTACTTCCCGAAGGTTACTACTCAACAATACAAAGGGATGAGTTCACTTCTAACAAGTGCCGAGGGCACCTACCATCGGTCATCCATTACAACATCAAATGAATGCAACTATCCTTCAAATGAATGCCGAGGGCACCTATATCCACCAGCATTCACTACAACATCAGTATCCTACAAATTTTCCAAAGTCCACACTTTTGAAAAAATGACAACAGCCAGAGGCTCACATATCACCCAACGACCGAAGGCATCTATTACAAATCATCAAAAGCCAATCAAGGGGGATTATTCCAAAATAATATCGCCCTCGGGAAATCTTAATTGGAGAACATTGCTAACCGAAGGCTACACAAGGAAGCAACGCTTAGAAATTTTTCTAAGTCCTAAAGATTGAGCCCCCGGACTGATCACTATTTCAACCGAGGGACCGTGATAGCCGAAGGCTACATGATGCAACAGCACTTAGGAGATTTTCTAAGTCCTACATATTTTTCCCTCGGTCAAACTACTTATACGTCAAGGAGAAGGCTATCACCCCGGATCCGAGGGCTACTTGACACCATGCATTTGGAAGTAAGGCTAGGTCTTAAATATTTGGCCCTCGGCCAAATATCCACGCGACAGGAAGGTTCACCCAATGATTCGAGGGCTCCTATCAGGACCGCTCGGGGGCTCAACATCTGAGATCCACTTAGAAAATTTTCTAAGTCCTAAATATTCTCCCCTCGGACAGACTCCTCACTGACCGAAGGTTCAACATCTACAACACACTTAGAAAATTTTCTGAGTCCTATATATTGGGCCCTCGGTCCAATATTCACACATCAGGAAGGAGACCACCAGCCGAGGGCTTCCAAGGGCAAACTACATTTAGAAATTTTTCTAAGTCCTAAGGTGGGCTACACTTAGGAAAATTTTCTCAACCTAATCATCTCGCAGCAATTGAACTACGAACACCCGAAGGCCGTATGGTGTGCTACACTCAGAAAAATTTTCTATGTCCTAACTTTTGCTGGGCCCCCGGTCATACATCTAGCAAAGGGTGCCCAACTACCGAAGGCTATGACTGTATTCAAACACTTAGAAATATTTCTAAGTCCTGAACATTGTGCCCCCGGTAGAACGTAAAAGCGACTAAAGGTTACTAGTAGCCGAGGGCTACAAGAAGCACCGCACTTGGAAGAAGATATTCTAAGTCTTAAAACATACATTCAAAGGAGCAAAGGCATACATCCAAAACGAGACGAGGGCATATATTCGAGAATAAACAAATCAAAAGGAAGCATGTTATATATCAAAAGCCCGAAGGCGTATGTACTCATTCATTCAAAAGAAGGAAGTTTAAATGTACTTTACAAAAGGGGCCGAGGCCAACAATTACAACACAGTATGATTACGATACAGGGGGAATACATTTCAAGAAGGGGGAACTGTGGAAATTGCCTCGCTCTCGGCCTCATCCTCTTCACCCCCGAGGCCGCACTCCCGGAGGGTCTCTGAATCTTCAAGAACTGGCCTCTCTTCCCCCTCGGGGAGCGGGATCCTGATGTCTGGCTGACGAGGGGGGAGGCCATAAGCCTCTGGATGGAACTCCTCCGGTGCCACTTGAAAGTGCTTCGCAAGCTTCCGGTAGATAAGGCGTTGGGTGAAGAACTCCCCGCCTTGGTAGTACGAGTCGCCCCTCTCAGCAAGCCACATCTTTCCAGGGCCTCCGACCCACTCGTCCACCGAAGCCCCCACCACCGAAGCAAGCCACTCCCTCCGGTCTTCAGCCTTCCATCCCTCGGCAGTGAAGCTGGCCACCGCATCCTCTCGGGCCTTGGAGACGGCCTCTTCTTGAGCTGCGCGGGCTTCATCAGCAGCAATGCGGGCGGCCTCGGCAGCGGCCTCCCCGGCCCTGGCCAGTCCCTCATTCACCCCTTCAGCCCTTGTAGCCTGCACCCTCTGCTCCAAGCCGTCGGTAGCTAGGCGGAGAGAGTCCTCAGCTTCGGCAAGCTTCTTCCTGAGGAGGGGGGCCTCCCCCTCGGCTGCACCCTTGGCCTGCCTTAACGCCTTAAGACAGTCAGCCTTCCCCTTTGCCCACTTAGACACTTAATTGAGAATAGGAACGCAACACTTTAACACACACGTAGAATATAGGCACACGACTTTACGGTCAACGACCAACCTTGTATTAATTCACAATTAATACACTAGGACTAATACAACATGCTCACAATGTCTAAACACTTGCAAACACTCAGCAATACTTGCCCTCGCACATCTGGCTCTCCAAAACTGGCAGTATGCCGCGGCCTATTTATAGACTGGACCGAGTCTGGCAGTTACAAGCCAACTGCCTAGCCTGAAGGGACGCGTCTCTTCGCGAGTGGCAGTTGGTAACCGTCAATGCCGCGGCCATCCGTTCGCCCAAAGCACCTGTTCGCCTGAAGCCCTCAACTGCCTTGCCACCGGTTCGCCCCAAGGCACCCGTTCGCCAATGCCATGCCCCCTTGCAGACTCGAGCCGTGCCAGCACCGAACCGACACAACCCTTCGAGCTTGCCCTCATGCCGCGGCCTAACCCAGACCACTCATGAGTCAACTCTTTCCCTTGAGCTCGTGACCAACCCTCGTTGCCTTGCGCCCAGCTTGCCCAAGTCCCACTTGTCAACCAGCCAACCAACTCTTGTTGCCTTGCGCCCAGCTTGCCCAAGTCCCACTTGTCAACCGGCCAATCAACCCTCGTTGCCACTGAACTCCCAATAGTCGTGACTGCCCAAGGACAGCCACGCCCCGGGCTCAAGCCTGGCCACGCACCACGCACTCCCTTGAGTCACCCACGTGCCACCTTGAGCCACTTGCTTTTGCCGTGCATCCAACCTGTTGTTCCGCATCCCGTAAGCCATGCCACGCATGCCACTGATCTTCACCAACACTTGGATCACATGCCGAACCAACACACCCATAACCCACCTTGACCATGTCATGCCGTCCACGAACCGAACATGGTTTCTCGCAACGCTAACCGTTCTGCCCACATACTAGGTCTAGCTTGCCTTGACTTGACTAAGTCCCGATGCCTTAGCCAAACTTCCACCTTGCCCGTTCCTCGCAAAGCAATGCCGCAGCATGCCTTTGCCTTGGCGACGCCTCGCCATGATGACTTTGGTCGCATCCCATGCCCCGAAGCCACCCTATCGAGCCAATGCGATGTCTCGATATAGACCCGCCAAAAAGGGGTCTAACAGTAGTACGAGTCGCCCCTCTCAGCAAGCCACATCTTTCCAGGGCCTCCGACCCACTCGTCCACCGAAGCCCCCACCACCGAAGCAAGCCACTCCCTCCGGTCTTCAGCCATCCATCCCTCGGCAGTGAAGCTGGCCACCGCATCCTCTCGGGCCTTGGAGACGGTCTCTTCTTGAGCTGCGCGGGCTTCATCAGCAGCAATGCGGGCGGCCTCGGCAGCGGCCTCCCCGGCCCTGGCCAGTCCCTCGTTCACCCCTTCAGCCCTTGCAGCCTGCACCCTCTGCTCCAAGCCGTCGGTAGCTAGGCGGAGAGAGTCCTCAGCTTCGGCAAGCTTCTTCCTGAGGAGGGCGGCCTCCCCCTCGGCTGCACCCTTGGCCTCCCTCATCTGCTCCACCCTCCGGAGGTGCTCGCAGAGGCCCATAAAGCTCTGCAATTCACGAAGGCGAAGAATAAGGCATGACGAACACGTTACAAAAGGAAAACACAACAACAAACAAAGAAGGGGGGGTGACTTACGGAGGCAGCATTCAGAAGGACCTTCGCCTCGAGGGATCCCTCGTCCAACCGGGCAAGGGCTAGTCGATCAGCCGACGGCATCATCTGGCTCATCAGCGCCGAAGGGTTCAGGCTGCCCTCCAACACGGAGGCTCCCTTCGGTACTAACGCCTCCAATTTCTCCCGCCCGAAGAACTCCTGGTTGATTTGTTCCTGGGGGGTGGAGGCAGAGGCGTGTCCTTCGTCAACGATCACCACCACATCGGTGACCGGCTGTTTGACAGGGGCGTTAGTCTTCGGCTTCTTGGCGTGGGGCTCAGTCCCTTTGCCGGCGTTCTTCTTCTTCACGGGCCCGGCACCCCTGGACCCTCCGGCGCCAGCGGCGGCGACAGCAGGCTGAGAGGGCCCCTCCCTGGCAGAAGTGCCCGTCGGGGCCTTCTTCTTCCCTTTCGCATTCTTCAGAGCGAAGAGAGAACCAACGTCCATATTATTACCTGCAAGCAACAAAAAAAAACACAGGAGGGTTAGATCGAAGGCTATCAATTACTACGTCATAAAAGATAGGAAATAAAAAAGAACTATCAACGCATCAGTGAACCATTCGGTGATCACCTCCAGCTCCTTCGAAGACTCGATCGAGGGGAGGGTATCTTTCATCCGAAGAGCCCCTCGGCCTGAACTGCCGGAAGCCCAGGCTAAGCAATTCCTCGGGGAGGGTGACGTCTCTAATCTTGACGTGCTTGTCAGACCCCTCCGGCTTTTTGGCAAGCACTTTGCCATTCTTCTCCAGAGCTGCGCTCCCCACCTTCGGATGGCGCCGGAAGCTATTGCGGAGCTGGGCCGGGAAGGGGTTCTCCTCGAGGCGAATGTAGCAGAACCTCTCCTTCCACCCCTTGTGGGACGAGGGCACGTCATCGAAAAGCCTGAACTCCGGTACCTGCTGAAGGTTGGCAAAGCCCTCAGCATTTGAATGCCCCCCCCCCCCCCCGGCAGAGGTTGAAGGACATGAAGAATTGGTCAAGTGTGGGCCCAACCCCCCGGCTCTGGCACAAGGAGAGGAAGTCGGCCACATAAGAGTGGCTGTTGGGCGTTAGCTGGCAGGGGGCCAACCCCACAAACCTCAGATACTCCAGCAGAAAAGGATGAAGCGGAAACCGAAGCCCCATCTCCACCGAGAGAGTGTGAATAGCAAAACACCCTTCGGGCGCATACCGCAACAAATCATCTGCCCTGGGCTCCACCACGCGCGCCGAAGGGCCAACCAGCATCTGAGTGGAATGGTATTCTGTCGGGGACGCCCTCGTCTTCAGCTCTAGAGCGGCAGTGTTCAGAAACGAATGGCCCTCGGGTATGCCTACCGGCCGCCCGGCGTCAACGGCCGCTTGCTTCTTCCTCGGGGCCGCCTTCATCTTCTTTTTCTTCCCGGGAGCCACACTGATGGGCGTCGGGTCCAATGGCCGGGAGGAGCTGGCTTCCCCGGCACCACGGGGGGAGGAATGGCGACCGTCACCTTCATCCTCTCCCTCTCCTCTTCTTGCTCGGCAGTTTGCACGGCGAGGGCGAGCTCTTCGTCCTCGTTTTCTTGCTCGAAGCCCTCGGCTTCGACTTCGGCCTGGAGGTCCTTCTCCACTCCCATGGCCACTGCGGCATCACCACCCACCGAGGACTCCATGCTCGAGGACTCCACATCTGAGCATGTCTCCATCTCGACCGAAGGCTCCCCCGAGATATCCTGGGAGTCGCTTTGTGATGACATCTACTCACTAGCTCGAAGGCTCGGAAGAACTAAGGTTTTCTAGAAAATTCTATCTCCTAGCCTAAGGGCACACAAGGCACAGCTAACTAGAAGGAGAAGAGCAGGGGGGAACTGACCTTGAGAACTGAGGATTCAACCGAGGGCAAGTTTCTCTCTCTAGAAAAATTTTGCCAGAGCTTCGCTACACTGAGATCGCACAGCGGAGAGTGGCCCTGGCCTTGGGGTATTTATAGGCACTGGGATCCGGGCTTGGGCTTGGAAACCGGGCCTCCGGTTGGATCGCCATCATTACAGACCGCGGTATCGCCCAATCGGTGACGCCGCCCACGGACAGCCAACCATCACGCGCCACGTGTACCCCCCTAACGGCTATATCCTGACGTTACATATTCCAACGGCTATATTTCCAACGGCTATATTTTGGGAGCCCCCGTATTTTTTTACTTCACTCCACTTCATCAAGGAGAGCCTCCGGGTACACTTACCCAGAGACGCCCCCGGGTTGTGCCCACACAGTACATAACAGTCGCCTTCGGGATCACTCTTTCAGAAGCCCAAGGCTTCATATCAGGCCACCCCTCAGGGATTCCCCCTCAGCACTGTAAGGGTCGGGTAGCCCCCGAGGAGTATGCCTCGTTGACAGATAGCCTGCGGCACACAGGTATTGAGAGCCCTCGGATATCCTCATCACCAACTAATCAGCAAGCACGGGCAATGATCAACTATTGCCCTCATCCATCACGCCCTCGATCCCCAGATTGAGGGGCTCCCCTTCGGCACCTCCCAGGACATCAACAGCAAGCCTTCGACTAATCAACACATGAGCCCTCAGAACAAGGAGAGCCTTCGGCATTACCGTTATTCTCCATTTTTGACCAAGGTTTCACATTTTCGATTCATCGTTGGGGGAATTCGGTGCACTCTTTTTCCCTCATTAGGATTTTTTCCCCCAGGGTTTTTCCTAATGAGGTTTTTAACGAGGCATCCCCCCAAAATGAAACGAAAAGCGTCAGCCTTCGGCCCACAACAGCAGCGCAACTACTCTACTCCTTTTTACCACTTTACAAGTGCCTCAAGGAGTGGGGGACTGGAGGACCCCCTCGGGAACATCATTAAAATACAAAATGGTGAAAAATTCCAACAAACGGCCAAGCAATCCCTCAAGTCCTGACATGTGGGTAACTGAGGGACTGCCTTCGGCAGGGACATGAAAGCAACGACTCCTCACCAACTTCAGAGATTACAACGGGACAACATCAAAGGGCAAGCACAAATTACTCCTTTTCCCTCAAGTACCTTTCGGAAAAAGGAGTGAGGGACTCCTGATAGAGTATATGGCCCGGGAACCCCCGGCCCACAGACTCCTACTACACCAATAAAAGCCCAACCGGCCCAGGAAGAACAGCAGGCCCCAAATTACGGCGCCCCAAGCACTTAGCAGCCCACAGCGCACACTGAGGAGCCTTCGGCCCCCTGGCCGAAGGCTCAAAACTCTCACATAACAGGTTTTTCAGGCAAACTAAGAAACTGGGAGAAAACGGCAGAAAACAGTAGCCCTCGGCAACCTGGAGCCCTCGGCACCCAAGGAGTCCCCGGCACTCAGAGCCCTCGGCTAGTCCTCTACAGCCGAGGGCACCTCTCCCGACATAATATCCACGCCACATGCGTACAGATCACCGTACCCTGTACAAACGTCCCATCCAACAGCCGCATTAAATGCGGCCACATGCGGCTGCCAGCGCCAACAAGTTGAGATGACCTCTCGGCCAATGGGCGCTTGACACGTGTCCCTGTCCGGCATTTATTGCTATTATAAATAGCACCACATTTCCCCATTTGTAACCAAGTCATAAACGCTGCATACTTTCTGAATACACTTTCTCTCTCTACTTACTTGCTCTGACTTCTCTCTTGTTATTCCCCGCAATAACCCCCCCGGATAAGCTACCCCCCGGGTACACTATCCATCATATATACTCCCTCCGTTCCTATTAAAATTTCCAACTTTCCTTTTTCGTCCGTTCCAATTAAAACTTCCATTTTCCCTTTTTAGTAAAGAATTTGTGGTTCACAACTATTTTTACACATTTCTCTCTCCTCTGCACAACTCTCCACCACACAATACCCACTATCTTAAATTGTGTGCCAAACATATTTGGAAGATAAAATAGGAACGGAGGGAGTATTTTTGACTGAAAAATTAAATATTATTTAATTAGTGCATTCTAGTACGTGCAACGCACAAATAATAAAACGTGCAATACTAACGTTAAACAAAAAGTGTGACGTTACCAATCACAAATAAGTTTAGTAGTGTACGTACATAATTCGATGAAATTGCATAATTTTAGATACCGTTTGCAATTAAAACAAAGTATTTCTCCAGCCTAAAATGTACGTTTGACATTTTAAATAATAATTTCACCCATATTAAAAAAATTGAAAAAGAATTGTTAAGCCATACTCCGTACAAAATAAACACATATTATGATTTCAAAGCACAGAACCGTTGATAATGTGAGGGATTATTAGGGGCAAGCTTGAGGCGTTGATACAATCAAACAAATATCCATCGTTTCATAACACAATTGTTTTGGGGACAAAAGAAGTTAACCTAGCTAAAAAGATATTTACTCTAGAATAGAGGCAACGTACATTTGTAACTTTATTCTAGAGAATTCCCAAATAGTAGTGAAATATGTTCAAAATGTAAAAATAGGAATGGATGTTCAAAATTCTCTTAATATGTATTCCTTATGTTTAATAAAATTCTTCTCAATTTGACTTTAACTAGAATTTAAGAAAGTGGAAATGTATGATTGTAATTGAGTAAGAAAAAACTAAACAAATGATAGTCACACAAAATTTTTCAAAAAAAAAAATGGAAAAAAGTTTTTGAAACATTCTAAAAAGGTAGGTGAGAATTTTTTTTTGGGACGAAGACACTATAAGTAATTATTTGTGATTGAACAAATATACCTTTGTAGGGGTTGGAGTTTCGTTATCGGACCACCGCTGACGGTCGCAAGAACTGCGCTGCCAAATTGCCCCACCAACCTTCCCTGATAATGGTGAGAGAATTAGGGGATAATTAATTATATTAAACGTAGAAGTGTAGAAGATGAATGTATAAGATCACCACCATTCATAATCTCTAAAAATCAATATTTTTTATGATTCTTACCTTTTAAATATTGTTATGTAATTAATTTTTAAATAATCTCAAAAACCGTTTATGCCTCACAACCATCATTTTCAAATAATCTGCTTTTCTCAGTCCTGCATTAACGTATTACATATACTTTTCAAATGATCTTAAAATAATTTGGATTCATATTTTGATCCTAAATTATTCTAGCAAATAATCTCATTAAATAATTTATGTCACTCAATGATACTTCTTTAAAAAAGATGTCATGTCACAAATAGAATCTCTTAATAATCCAAGCAATGAGGATGCCCTAACCAACCTTGTGTTTAATGGTATTATTGTGACAATAAGAAAAGAAAACGTACACTTGGTCTTATTAGGGCAATTTTTTACTTCCTCCCCCACTATATATCTTTCTCGATTGGTTAATCTTTCCGTCCAATGATTTCACAAAACTGGTCTCATACTCTCATACAGTCATACAATATGTATTTATTTATATGATTGAACCTTCTTATATTTTGCAAATCTAAATCAATTTGACAACTTCACCTTCTTAAGAACATAGAGATTAGTCGATTAGTCATGTCCAAAATTTGATAGCACACTAATAATTTAATTCTAATTAAATAAATATGATGTGAACAAGTCAACTGCGAACAACTGAGGATGTGACACTCACCGTTAGATTCATGGCACAATTATAAGTACATATTTTGTCCGGCTCTCCTTTGATTATTCAATCACCCATGCGTCACTATCGGTACAAATGCTGAACTGAGTTATGTCCTGAGTTTGTCTCTCACTTATACTCCATTCGTTCCTTAAAACTTTTGACGGATACCAAGATTAATAAAGTAAAAATTGTGTGGTAGAAGTTTGTGGAGAGGAGAGAGAATTAACTGTACTCACAAATTCTTTATTTAAAAGAGAAAGTGACAAAGTTAATGGGACAATCAAAAAAGGAAAGTTGATAAAGTTTTAAGGGACGAAGGGAGTACAACTATATGTTGATTCGTGCCAAGTCTACGAGAGATTATTACGTAAAAAACTTATAACGATTACACTAGTATGTGATTAAAAACTGAAGCGGGCTGGGACTCTGGGAGGCGACGGGAATGCTTTTGGCTAAAGCTAATGGGTTGGGTTGGGGGTAAAACTAATACGGAGTACTAATTTTTTTTTGGTCCTTTAAAAAACCAAGCCATGTGCGGATGCACTGGGCTAACATGGCCTGGGCCGGCCCTGACCGACAATATTTATTTGTGTGAACAAGCTGTGGTTTTAGATATAAAGACTCCTTATATAGACAGAAGTTATATGTTCCCACAAAATAGTTATGTGTGACCAATTTTACTTGTTTTTGCTAATAAATTGCGATTTTTCCAATAGATTTTTGACAAAGATCACATTGCCGGTAAGAGTGTGAACCATAACTTTGCACAGATAATAATTGTCTGTATGATTAACTCACCTTCCTAGTTATATTTACGCTATGTTTGCCATATATAAGTCTCTACCTTCTAGCTTTTGTACTTTTCAAAAATTCTCTAAAAGCTTCTAGTTATATGTTTGGCATGACAATTTTTAAGAACTTTTCAAAAATTAAAAGATCTTTTTTGAGATGCTACGGGGAGTAGAATCTTAAAAAAGCCCGTGACTTTTAGTATTAATTAGTCCTAACAGCTTGTATACCAAACCGAACTAAATCAAACAATCAACTTTTTACCAAACAGCTACCACATTTTCTCTTTAAGATCTTTTCAATCACTAAAAGCTAACAGTTATTAAAAAGTTCACAAAAGTATTTTTTTTACTAATTGTGCCAAACATACCCTTATACACACACGAGTTGTCTAGTTCTATCCTAATTTAGTATGCAATTATTGTCTGATCGATTATTGCTCAATTAGACTCAATGTCTACTCCAACATAATGTACAAAGGGCACTTCTCTTGCATTAATTAATTGGTATGGATCCAATAAGCACCACAGGAGGTTAAACTTTGCGGATTTATAGCAACCAACAACATCTTAGTCGATGCTATGGAGAGTAAATAAATGATCATAAAAGAAATAGGTAAAGAAGAGGTAGAGTTTTTTCACTTTTAGTCCGGCTACTATTATGTCATTGACACTTTTGGTAGTCGACTTTAATTATTTCCACTTTAAATCTCCAACTATTGTGCTGGAGACACTTTTGATACATGTCTTTGAAAATTTACATATTTAGTCATTCAACTATTATAGGTGTGAAATTTTTAGTCCTCATTCGTTGTGCCAAAGTCATAGTTGAAGGACTAAAAGTATCAATTGATAATACTAAGGAGATTAAATGTGAGAAACTCTAAAGTCACGGACTAAAAGTTCTCTTTACAATAGTCAGAGACTAAAAAATGAAAAAATTAAAAATAGAGTATAAAAATGTCACTAAGATAATAATCAATGAGTGAAAATGGCAAAAAATGAGAAGAGGTATGTGTTTCCTCATCTTTATTCACTTAGCTTTTGGTAACTCGGGTCCTAGCTGAACTGGCCGGGGAGCCTCTATTCCCGAAGTCAATTTAACTCAAACTTAATTGCTCATAAGTCATAACTACCTTGTAATAGGCGTATGTTTCACCCATTATAAATCAAATTGTAATATGATTTGATTTAACTTTCTCAAGTTGAAATTTTGGACCGGGCCGGATTGGTACATCCTCTTTTTAGTTATTAAAAAGGGTCCACGGTCTGTTTGCTTTCAACTATGATTGGGACAAATATTAATTTCGCAGGGAGTACTACTGTACTAGCCTATTAAACCAAAATTAAACACGCTTTGTACTCCTTTTAGTTGTGATGATAGGTCCATCACACGTATTCATGAATACAACATTATGCTAAGTAGAAATTGAAGTGAAAACACACATCCTTAGCGCATTGTGAATGTTCCTTTTATCGCGCACAGATATATAAGACATACCATCATTGGTTGAATGAGTCACCGTGATTTACATCCTTCATGTGCCCTATCGGGTCGGGCGTGGAGAGCCTTTGGGGTTGGGGATTCAACCTTTCGGAGGAATGTTCCTTTTAAATTGAAGGACGACTTCTCAAAATTTCAATGGCAACATGTATTTGGTTTTGCTTTAGGGCACACTAAAACTAAAGCAACATGTTTCGTTTACCTGTTCTGTCGGGCGCCTGGTGTGGATGGTTTCACCTTCCGGTAGTTAGTATATTGAATGTAGGATTAAACTTCATTGATCATATAAGAAAGTAGAAAGATGTTCCCTAAGTCTCATTTGATTTTGTCAACTCTTTCTTTTTGTTGTATTAAACTTTGTCTGTTTTCTTGAAAAAATTAATTTTTGATTCTAAGGAGTATTTTGATCTCTTTTGTATAAACTTTAAATATATACAGTAATACAGTAATTAAACATATGCGCCTAATTGACCGAGAAAATTGCAAACACCTAAACAATTAAGATCGTGTGGGACATATAACTTCAATTTTAATTAGGGCTGAACAAATCTTAACCATCATGAGAAAATGGGTGGGATGCTCTAAATTGGCGAGCTACATTTGTCTTGATTGGTTTAGCCGGTCCCATGTGCCCACCAAGTCCCAATTCGTCTCATGATGATTGGCAATCTTCATATATGTATGGACCAAACAATTTTGGTGATAATTGGGGTACCATACCTACCATTCACTTGATTGATTCAAATCATTGTATCATTTTTAATTTAGATTTAAATAATTCAACTGCAGCATTCTAATTGGTTCATGTGGACAAAAGTATGATACCTTAAGGATACCATAGAATCTACCATCAATTTTAAAAAATCTTCAAGATTTGAAAAAACGGGCATGGAATGATAGGATTCGTATATCATACAGCCGGTGGCAGTTTTGTAATTTTCATGAAAATCACGGGTTCTCTTAAATGAGCATTAATGCAATTTGAATGAGCATCACTGTTCTTTTTTAGTATTAGGAGCCTAACAATGAGCACTAGTGATCTTGGTTTCATATCTTTTAATTCAGTTTCTTTTTATTATTTTTGCGTTTATATAAAATTATTAAATGATGTTAATAATCAATTTCAATTAATTTCAATATGTGAATCTAATGTAGTATGATATGTTTGATATGAGCAACATTTTAAAATGAGCATAAAGCAGTACCAAATGAGCATACATGATCTGCAAAATGAGTATCAAAAAAATTCAAAAGCTCATTTGTGTATGCTCATTGATTTTGAGCGTTATACTCATTTGAGTTTGAAATAAAACTCACTTTTAATGTGCTTAATATTCAGTTATGTATGCTCATTTGAATATTAAGAGGGACCTGCTACATCCGTGCTAGAGGAGAAGGGGATGAGCAGTGAGAAGCGGCGATGAGCAACGAGCTGGAAGAGATAAAAAGTGGTGAGCGTAGGCGACAATCAACCAGGATAGATCGAAGAACCCAACGAGACCAGAGATGATGAGAAGCTTGGTGCGAAGTTGGATCTTCTTCTTCTGGTGCGAAGCAAAGAAACGCAGAGCTAAAAAAGACCGGTTGTACTGTGAGCACGGTACAGCCGGTTGTACGGTGTATTTTACCGGAATGATAGACAATGCACTGAAATGGGAATCATAATACAATAGTTTCATCGGGGATGCTATCAGACTACTAATTTTAATATATACTAGTATTTGTTTTAAATTGCAATGGTTTCAATTTCAGGTATATCATTACATCACCGTTAATGTCGTATTTAGTCATATTAGTAAAAATTATTCATTCAAAACTAAACATTAATCTCATTTCAAAATATTCATCCATATACCTTTTCTAAATGTTCCAAAAAAATCTTCTTATTTCTCTTTTTGAAATGATGATTAGTGTGTCCAACATTTATTTAACCAATTGAACTAAAATTTCACAAATTTCAACAAATTATACTAATTTAATCAATTTGAGTGTTTGTTAAACGAGCTTTTTGATGGGAATAAAGTAAAGAAACCTCAAATAGATTTATAACAGGGGACGTTGCTCACCTGATAGAAAGAGAGTGACAAAAGGAAGAAATTTTGAGTTCAATTTCAAACAAAAACTTGAAATGCAGCCTCATTTTTTTTCATTAGTGAGAGATAAAAGCGAAATTTACATCTTTCCAGATAACTGTCCAGTCAATTCTAGAAGGATTTCGGATATGGAATGACATCCATTTAAAAAAAAAAAGAGATATAGGAGTCACAGACATTAGCTAACTAAACTAATCACTATATAGGTATCATCATTCATGTTGATTCGTGGTAACATGCGCCCTATATTTAAAGTTTCTCTAGCTAATTCGATTCCTTTCCGTACAATATTATAAGTTTTCGCGTGACTCATCATACTAACGTACAAATTGCTACATCCTATGATTTGGTATACAGTGGAGAGGTAATGGAATACCTCGGGTGTTTGGAAATGAAGAGGTAATTGCTACAATTTTTAAAAGCAAAACCAGAATCAGAATCAATTTTCAGAAGCTGGTCATCCCCAATTTCTAAAAAAAACTGATTCTAGGAGTAAATTAGAGCACCGAAATCACTTTTGCATTTTCACCCAAATACTCCAACTTCTTCTTCTGCTCCCTGAAGGAGCAGTAACACTTTTAAGAATCAGATCCAAACACCCACATAATTTAATTCGGCTTTTAGTTGTAAATGAGACTAAAAGTAAGTCAAAATTTCACATTAGGATTACACTTTTTTATTCTCAAAATAGGAGTAATATATGCCTATTCTTCCTATTCTACCCCCAATCTATAATTCCTAATAGATTCGTTTATTAATACAAAAAATCATAGTTTTATTTATAATAAAAACATAAAAAAATCGTAAAAATATTTATAAATTGATAAAAAATATGGAAAAAATAAAACAAAATAAAAAATAAGACAAAAATTAAAAAAAAACTTAAAAATATCTAAAAGAATCAAATAAAACACCTTGAAAAATTAAAAAAATATGTAGGCCACTACCTCTACATCCTCCACCGTCCAGCACCACCATCTCCGATCGACGAAAAAAATGCCATCTCGTGTAAAAAATATCACATTTCCCTAACTTGGAAATCTTTTCCGACGACCGAAGGTGCCTACGTTGGTGGTTGAGGTCTGCATATTTTTTATTTATATGTTATGATTTTTTATTTTTTATTTTAATTTTTTTATGTTTTATAATGATTATTTAAAAAATCCTATTATGAAGGACAAGGGAAAGGGTAGAATAGGAAGGGTTAGTTTTATTTTGAGAATTTAACATTAAACTCTTATTGTTGCAATTATCTTTTTATTTAGTCCTATTTAGGAAAATCATATTTATTCATCACATTATTAAATCAGTCACTTAAACATATTCATTAACTCTATAATACGGAGTATTACGTATCACGTATGAAAACGATCTCAACTCTCATAGATATACGTACGGAGTATAATGGATATGAATTTTATTTATGATGTACATTAACGGTTTTTTATATAGATAAAATGTTCTGAAAGCTGGTGTCAAAAAAAAGTAAAAGTGAAAAAAATGTTGAGAGAATTATGGTATTTCTAGCAGCTTAGCAGTTAGCATGCCATATTAAAGGCATAAACTACGTATAAATGTGCTGAATCGATCATATGAGAAATAAATTAACAAAAAATTGTCAAAAAAAAAAATTACCCAAACAAAAAATATTTATCGTCAATAGTGACATCGCACATGCTGCGCCTTAATTATCACCCCGGGGTACACACTTTTACACCTGGGAACTATTAAATGAGCCATGATACATGTTACTCGAGCTTTGTACGGAGTAACAACTAAGAAATTCTCTAGGAATAAAATATAAAATATAACAATTTTTTTCAAATAATATACTATTATTTTAATCTTGTAATAAAACTAAATAAGTCTTGAAAGTTAAGTAGATTCCCTAAACGGGACTAAAACAAAGTTAAAGTTAAAGTTCCTCAATAGGACTATTATTATTTTATTACTCCCTCTGTCTCTAATCTTTCTCCCTTTTCGGCTGGGCACATTTATTAAGATAGTGGGATTTGTGTGGTGAAGAGTTGTGCAGAGGAGAGAGAAATGTGTAAGAATGGTTGTGAACCACAAATTTTTTGCTAAAAAGGGGAAGAGGAGATAATTTTGGAACGGACGAAAAAGGAAAGTTTGAAGATAATTTAGGGAGGGAGGGAGTATCAAAGTAGGACAAGATACTACGTCATACTTTGGAAAACTTTAATCAACTTATTTTGGAATAAAACATACTAAGTCATATTTTTTTAAAAAATAAGTTTTAGTCTCATATTGAGCAATTTCTAATCTCTCACTTAGTTGATCAAATAATAAACCATTTTTCTAGTACATCTAATTTTCACATCGTTGTTCCATAATAGATTTTAAATAATCTCAATGCTTATAGTTCTTCATCAACAATGATACTGTTTTAATTGGTTAGGACATGCATTAAATATAATTTAACTATAATCTGAAATAATTCAGGATTTAAATCTTCATACTTAGAGCCCGTTTGATGACTTCTATTCTCGCCTTATGAGCCAATGATTTCACCAAACACACAAGTTTTGATTTAAAGTTGAAGTTACTTTTGTGAACAAATTAGTTGAAGTTACTTTAGAAGACCACTTTAGCCATTCTTCATATAAATTTTTCTACAATTTATTACGGAGTAATAAAATACATAGTATATTTTGATTTTTTTTAATAATTTAGTAGATTCTACCAATTCACTCGCTTTCGTCGGAATTTCATCAATTTTGGAGCCGATTCAGCCAATTCAAGTATTACCAAACAGACTCTTAAACTTACTTTAAACTTTGTTATATTTTTTTATTTTTCCTATTATGAACAATTTATTTTAATTGTATACGTAGTACTCCCTAATCCGTATGCTAATGGTAACGATTGCTAGAAAAGTATTTACACGACATTCATCTGAAGAGACAAATTAAAAAGTGCTCAAAATCAGGAGAAGAAACGATGGCTTTTGTTCTATGCCCTGTTCGTGAAAAGGGGACAGACAGGAAACGCGTTTCTTCTCATTTCGAGTAAATTATCGTCCTTACTTTTTACTCATTAAACTAATTAGCATGATAATCGTTACTTAATCCATTATTAATCTCATAATCTCACAATTAGCGAGTTCTTTCTACTTCAAAAAAATTATTGAAAAAATATATTACAACCAGCCAGAGAAGTGAGAGAAGTCCACATATGGGTTCGAAACTTCAAATAAAGGGGACTTGTATGGCTCTATTTGATAATCACTTGTTAGTGGTTATTTGTTTGAATTGATGATTTTGATGGGGTGATTCATTTAGCAGTTTTGACCGACGGATTGTATTAAGTGATTCTTTTAAGTGTGATAATATTAGATATTCACAATTGTATAATTTTATGTGTAGTAAGTAATTGCCGAGTAAATCACACTAGCACAACTCTCCCTAAATAGGAGTTCACCTCTCTAAATACAGGTAAACACTAATTTTCTATCCCTAATATCCTATTTTAATCAAATACGTGGTAATATCCCCCTTAATTCTTTTGGGCAACCGAATCAGTCCGTTGTAGCGGGTTAGTCCGTTGGTGGTGGGTAGACCGACAGCGGAGCTATGGAACAGGTGACGGTGACAAGCAGACTGGGGCAAAAAACTGGACTTTTTTACCCCGCCGGAACTCCAGTGATCAGCGGCGGCGGCGGTCTCTAGACAGCAGGATTCGGAAGGTTGGCGGCGGCGGCCGGCGACACGATAGCAGGCAGTTACATAACCAAATTTCTTGCATACCTCTTGTAGATATATTAGTAGGGTTGGGCAAAGTGGTTCGGATTAACCGAACGAACGTACCAAATCAAAGTAAATCGAGCCGGAACTGAAACATATGTAATTTGATTTAAGTTTGCTAGTAATTCTTCCAAATCGTATTAAATAGAACCCAACCAAAATCAAGAAAAACCAAATGAAACTGAATCGGACTAAAGAAATTCAATTAAACCTTCATACTCCCTCCGGTCCTAAATAAACTTCACACTTTGACTTCACGCAAATTAAGGAAATAAATTTGACTTTATTGTAGAGTACACTGTTGTGACTCTGTTTGGCACTGTTTTGATGTAGATAAATTGCCAAATAAGGAAGGGAGAAGAAATGTGAAGTTTATTTTGGACCTACCCAAAAAGGAAAGTGTGAAGTTTATTTAGGACCGAAGGGAGTATATTATTAAAAAATAACAAACTCAAACCGAACCAAACCAAACCGAAAGATAGTATGATTTTTATTTGGTAATAATTCTTCCCGGCTTCAAGAGGTTTATCATTGCTTGGGAAACACTTCTGTGATTTTTGTATTTATATAGTAAGCGTTTTTTATATCATTACAAAACCAAGATCCTCAAAACAAAAATAGTAGTAAGTGGACATTACAAAACCAAGATTATATTTATAATATATTTGGTAATAAAATATATTGATTCAAAACAATGGTTAAAAGTTTAACACCTTTGACAAAAAAAAGTCAGCTAAAAAATGAGAACCTTCTTGCCTTTATACAAGAAGTTTATGTGTAAGATCATATAAATGAAGATTGCGAAGTATGTCGTATATGGACATTACAAAACCAAGATCCTCAGCTTGGCGAAAGTGGACAGGGTGTTACAGCTGTGAGACCCATGCTCATCAGATAGCTCACATTATCCAAGCAGAGAAACCGGATCCCCAACAAGGTTTTAGTAGGTTAAATAAATAAAAGATATAAGTAAATAAAATACAAACCATTTGATAACAGCAACTTTGTATGACAACAGTGAACCACTACCCTGGCATGTCTGGCATTTCATTAGCCCACGTGACTCGCAAGTGGGACACGGCACTTTTCCATCGCCTTTGCACTTTTGGCATCTGATAAATAATAAAAACCAGCATACATTCGCTAATTTAATTTATTTGCTGGCAAAACCACTCATATTGAGTTATAAGAGAAATGGAGCTAACATAGTATCGGATCCATCTTTATGAGCAATTAGGCCTCTCCCATAACATTGGAGACACTGAGAAGTTTGACCTTCCTTGTAGAACTTGGGATCTTGATCAGCATTACAAGTTGGGCAAACTACATTTCCTCGTCCACGACAACCTTAAAAGACACAAGTTAAAATTAGAGAGAAAGCAGGCATTGATCATGTACTTCTGGTAACTTCTGTAAACTGTCCCACATCGGATGTTTAATAGATTTGAATCTAATATATGTATCAAGTATACATCATCTCTTGAGGACCTGTCGAGATAAGTTAGACCCAATTTAATACGGAATATGGTATAAGAGCCTAATGCAATTCTGCTTTATTTGTTTATTTGCTTTAATTGTGCCTTTTTGTATAAGACTAATTTGGTTTTTTATATTAGGCCCATCCTTTGTGAGAGGGCTCAAGAGTAGAGCATGAATAGAACGATACATGCTAAACAAATATGCGTAGGCTGGTATGGTTGTTACCTGGGCATTTGCCTATAATTTCAGAGTGAGGAACTCTCATCCTTGATTCTTTATAAGGTATGAACAAGCCGGGAAGTTCAGACCTTAAATCCAAATCCCATATTCCCACTTCATATTTTTCATTGTTTCCTTCAATATTGCCACCAAAGTACGGCTCTGTTTCTGCAAGTACTTCCCTCTCCTCTATAAAAGTATCCAGTGTTCCCACATATACATTGCAGTCCTCTACTGCATGGATTTTCCAGGTACGAGCTGGACGACTTCCCCAACAGCAACGATGGCCAATTTCATCTATTAGCAACTCTCGTATCTCTACCTCATCTAGCTCTTGCCTATCAGGTCCATGTAATTATAATATTTTTAAGTGCCACCCAGAAATTCCCCAAAATTTAGATTAAAAAGAACCCCTATTAGAGACATCAGGTGTGCTTAAAGCATCATTATGATAGGGACATAGACAGCCTATAATAATAAGAATAATAGAATTATAATAAATAATGTAATAGTGTACAAATAAGGTTGTTGGGTCATTTATGTTATGATTTTGGGCCAGCCCTTGAGGGTAGCCTTATTATAAGAGTGGGAAGTGGGGAAAGAGGAGTTTAGGCAGAAATTGGGATTGGACTGGGACTGGGAAGTTGGAGTCTATCTCCTTCTTTGGGACAACTCTGTACGGTTTACCTGCTTTGAATAAAATTCAGTTTTCTTTACTTTGTTCTTAATTCTCTGTGATTGATTCTGGAATTGCGGAAGTTCTATCATTGGTATCAGAGCCTTACTTCCTGGAGACGGAGAATCTGAAGCATGGAGGAGGATTTCTACATGACACCTCAAATGGAAGAGAGTTTTGATAATATGGACCGACTAATGAGGGAGTCAAACGCTAGGTTAGCGACGATGATGGCTGATATGCAAGCGACGATGCAAGCTGGCATCACAGAATTGCAGAACCGGCTTAAAAATTGTTCGCGGAATCGATCGCACAAATCGCATAGGTCGCATCGCGACTCTCTTCATCGACGTACGCAACATCCGATTGACTCAGAGGAATCGGAAGAACAGAGTCTTCGCAGAAGACCTGGAGATCGATCGAGGAACTTCAGCCATGAGCCGCTATCACCAACGGATTCACAGATGAAATCGCGAACTTCTCATATTTCGCAGTCACGAACTACTTATTTTGGTTCGCACTCGCGAACTTCCGATCACTATTCACAGAGGCGAACAGTTTCTCTTTACTCGCAGACTGACTCCTCAGATATCAATATGCGTTCAAGAAAGAAGCTAGGGAGTGGAGAATCATCATATTCGTCTCCAAAGGATTCTCACAGTTCACCTTCCTCGTCAAAAGTCCATTCTCGGAAATCTGCTATTTCAAAGAAGGAGGAATTACCTCTATTCTACGAGCATGAAGCATATGAATGGATTGGGAGGATGGAAAGATATTTCCGAGTCCAAGCTATTGCAGAAAGATTTAAAGTGGACGTGGCAGCGAAGGCTATGGGGGAAGAAGCAGATGGCTGGTTTCATTGGTGGGATTTTCATAAGAGAGAAGATAGTTGGAATGCTCTAAAGGAAGACTTGATTAGGGATTTTCCACCTAAACACCGGCAGAAGACAGGGAGGACAGAAAAACAGGTATCATCAAGGCAAATGAATATGAAAGAGGAAATCAAGGACGTAATTAAGGAGAAGACGGGGTTTGAGGAAATCACAGTGAATGGGTTTACCGGGGAAAAGGAGCAGACAACTGCTTATACATGGAATCCTTTGCAGAAGACACTGACTAGAAGAATTCATCCAGAATGGTTTCAAAAGTTAATCATACTAATGATTAGCATTAAACTGGTAGGCACTGTTTTGAAGTTCAGAGATGAAGACAGGAAGGAATGGAAGGAAAAAGGAGGTTATACGAGCAAACCTCAGCAGTGGAATGATGAGTATAGTAAGTATAAATATACTTATGAGGCCATAACAGCTGCTGTGCAACTTTCAGCTAGAGACAAGAGTGATAGATATCTTCCAGATACATCCATTGATTTTATTGATAAGGTTGGGTTGATGAAGTCTATCTTGAAGCCTGATTTTAAAGTTGATCAGCGTTCGGTTCTGGATGTGGAAGGCTGCAATGTGGTATTTTCTTCAATTCGGGACTCCTCTGATTCTGTACTGAGATGGACTGATGAGTCTGCTCTTGGTAGCAATATTGAAGGACATGTTCATAAAATACAGGAGTTTGGGGCGGTCATCACTTTTAAGAATCGGGAAACCAATATGTTCTTGAGTAATCTGACCGAAGTTCATCAGGAACCAGTCCCTGAAGCTCATTTTGTTGCTGCAAGAGCTATTGGCTCTCTTATAAGGGAAAGGAAAGAAGAAAACTTCCCAGACTTGGGACTTTGGCGGTTGGAGAATCTGACATCGCATGGCAGTACTGGGGTGCACAACTTATTTTGCATAAGGCTTGTTGTAGACAGTGAATTGAGTAATTTGAGCAACCTCAAATCTGCATCCAACTCACTGATGACTCCAGAAGTAAGAGTCCTTGAGGATTTTTTTGAAAAAGAGGAATTAATTGTATCCAGTAAGTGCTTGAAGGCCACTGCAACAAATGAAACTGCACTCGACATATCTTCTGCAGCCGCAACATCTGTGATTTTGGAGGTACAAGTACTGAAGCTTCTGATTCAACAAACTGCGAGATATTGGGAAGGAAGAGGCGCTCGGATGAAGAAGATGTTGAAGGTCAACAAGGCTGTTTCCTATCACCCACCTTGAGGACAAGGTGGTTGTTCAAGGGGGGAGATATGATAGGGACATAGACAGCCTATAATAATAAGAATAATAGAATTATAATAAATAATGTAATAGTGTACAAATAAGGTTGTTGGGTCATTTATGTTATGATTTTGGGCCAGCCCTTGAGGGTAGCCTTATTATAAGAGTGGGAAGTGGGGAAAGAGGAGTTTAGGCAGAAATTGGGATTGGACTGGGACTGGGAAGTTGGAGTCTATCTCCTTCTTTGGGACAACTCTGTACGGTTTACCTGCTTTGAATAAAATTCAGTTTTCTTTACTTTGTTCTATCACATTATATACCTTCTTATGCCACCAGTAGCTCTTGCTACTTCTCCATAATATCCACCTTGGCAGTTGACTGCATCAAAAGGACTAATTTTAAATATTGTGAACAAATACAGTTTAGTAACTTTAACTATACTGAAAAGTGTGCACACTCCAACCGCACAATCTTATCTGATACCTCATTTGATTATTTATCAATAACAGTAACAAAGAAGTTCTTTTTGTAATGATTATAACCCAACTGTGATTGAAGGTGTACAGAAGATAGGAATGAATAAAAATAACACTAAAACAGCTAGTCTTGAAGAATCAACAGATTTGCCTATGGAGATGAACTTGCCATACCGAATGGCTAGTCACATCACCACAGAATAGTGTTTCACCCTAGCTATCCAACTAGTCATACTCATACTTGACAAAAGATGCACACAGAATAAAAGAATAGAAACACCAGAACAGAATGCATATAAATCCTGAGAAAAAATGTAATGTATATATGAGAAATGTGATATTTTATTCTCTCACAATATACTTCTCTTTTTTCTTCTTGTATCCATGATGTTTACATAATTCAACAAGCCTCTATATATAGTAGTTATTATTGGTGTAGAATCATCTAATACTTTAATGAATTAATGTACGGAGTATATTTTATAAGTTTTGCCGGAAATGGTAAAAAAAGAGCCATTTGTCTTCCTTGATTGCAAGATTTGGTAGCCTTGAACAATTCACATTGTCTATGTTTACACTTTACACCATATGTAAATAACTCATTGCTCATCAGAATGACAAAATTTTAGCTCCAGACATGGTTCATTTCATGACTATCAGATGCAAAAGGTTCTTAATGTTAAGTTTGGGCTGCACAAAAATAGCACAACCCGTACAACCCAGCCGACCCAACCCTATCTGCCCATTTTTAGCCTGTTGTTTGATTCAAGAAAATAATCACCGGCCAAATTTCTATAAACCCTCAAATAATGGGTAGGGTTGCGGAAGTAGAGCCTCAAAATCGATGTTACCAGACCTGGCCGATATAAAGGTATCTTTACTACTCTTCCATGATATTCCCTTCAATTTTCACCCTTAGAAGTTGAAAATATATTACTTCTTTGTTTTCCTATTATTTTGCTACAATGATTTGTTAAGACTGCTATGATTTACTTGAAATATTATAATACGGAGTAGTAGTTATAAATATTTACCGTTTCCTCTAGTTGATTTACTACATTTGCTTCTAAAGAAACTTTCTCTACAGAAGGATGACTTGATGCTGCTATATAAAGTTTATACTTCTAAAGTTGTAAAAAGTTTAATTTTTTCTGTGTTTGTATGGATTTGAGTATATGTCAGTTGTAAACTTGAATGCATTAGTGGACCAAATTAAAGACTGGTTTATTTTTTCTATACCCAACCCTACTTGATCCATTCATATACGGGTTATTCATTCACATATAGGCCCAAAAAGCATAGCCAACTGCCCAACCCATCCAACCCACCAGACGTGCAACCCTAGCCCCTATGTTAAGCCATTAAGCTAGCATAAAGATACAAGTTTACGTATAAGAACCTAGGCGGTGGCGTAGTCAATACTAATGTTTTGTATCTTACATTGAACTATTAATGATGAACTATGGTAGAGATGATTCATAAAGTAGGAAAAGTCATTTTCCCCAGTTCATAGTCTCCAAAGACTACAAAAAGAAATTGATTCAAATAGGAGTAAAACATAGGGGGTGTTTGGAACTTATTCTGATTCTGGTTCTTTTTTAAAGCAGAAGCAGAATCAGAATCAGTTTTCATAAGCTGGTCACCCCGAGCTTCTAAAAAAAACCGATTCTAGGAGTAAATTAGAGCACCAGAATCACTTCTGCACTCTTACCCAAACACTCCAACTTATGCTTCTGCTCTATGAAGGAGCATAAGAAGCTTTAAGAATCAAATCCAAACACCCCATGGACAGAGTACACAAATAAGAGTAGCTATATTTTATTCAATTAGGAGTGATAAGAGTGAATGCAGTAATAAGTTCACGGCGAAAGTGAGAATGAATAATTACCATAGTGATGGGACTGGGGAAAGCTGGGCAAGGGAGGAGATTGAGGTATAGGAGGGTAGGAAATGGAAGCAACAGCTGCCGCTGCGGCGGCAGATCGAATCTCATCTACGCTGACTTCGGTTCCGATCAAGGGAGCTGTAGGAATTGCTCTTCCCACATAAGCAGACGATGAACTCCATCTTTCCCAGTCTCTCTGTCCACTTAGGTTTTCCGCTTTTGCTATTCCGAACAAAAATGCACAACATCAAAGACTGGATCATCCAGTGGATCAAACAGGAAACTGGAATTCAAAGGGGAAAAAACAATTTTAAATGTGCAGCCTGGCATACCTGATAGCAGTGGCTCATCCATGATTGAGCGATTGATCTTAATAATGAAATAAAAAAGTCAGCTTTGAGCAGAAGATATGAGGTCCGCGACGTAATATATAATCCGTATAATTTTTATACGCGCACGTGAAACTCGTTTTGCTAATTTGTGCCTTCATCAACAAGGAAATAAACAATGAGCTGTTGAATTCACTCAAACCAACCGCCTCCGGCGAGGACTTTCCCGGTTGAGTTGGTTTGGACGCCTACTATCTCCCTGGGATTCTGACTATTTTTTAGGCTGTCAAGTGAGATGAGGATTAGGACATTCGCAGTGTTAGCAAACTTGGGTTAGCATTTTGTTGCAAACTTGGGTATATATGATCATACATTCATACCCACACAAGTACAATGATTAGGAAGTTGGAACATACATTAAGGATCGAAACCCGCAATGATCGTGTGGAGTTTATCGTTCCTACATGGTAAGCTGGACCTCTGTTGTGAACGGGTACAAGGTTTATCATCATTCAGCTTATTAAGTCACTTACATCCTCCCAAGTGCCTTGTTGGATCGAGTTGTGGGGACACTTGTGGCCTGTTTGTATTGAGTGTTAGGGAGTGTTAGTAATGGAATTGTTAGTAAGTGTTTATACTAACACTTGTTTGGGAGAAAAATTAAGAGGTGTTAAGAAGTGTTAGTAAAGGTTAGGAAGTGTTAATAATAACCTTCCCAACACCTCAATTGTCCACTTTTTTAACACCCCGATTTGGAGTGTTTTGAGTTTGACAATTATTATCTTCCCATTTACCCTAAAAACATAAAATGCTTCGACATCTCACTTCGAATCTCTTTGCCGCAAGTCTGATGGTCTGCCTTTTTCATCTCTTCTCCTTATTCGTTTCTTCTGACTCAAGGTAAAATTATTAACACTTCCATTATTAACACTTCATTCATTTGATTCTCCCAAACAAGGTAAAATTATGTCTAACACTTACACTTCCCTTCCCTTCTAGGCCCTTACTAACATTTACTAACACTTCCATTACTAACACTTCCAAACACTCCATCCAAATAGGCCCTTATGATCGGGGATTCAACCTTTTGAAACATTGGTATATAGGATCATTTCATTTCCCACTAAAATGCCTAATAACATGTTTATTCGATCGGTTTTTTGAAATTTTATATGAAATATATGTAACTCAATAATAGTATTAGGGGTGGGTCCAAAAAATCGAATCAAAATGAACTGAATTGCAACCAAACTATACTGGATTGTTAAAAAACTCGAAATCGAATGTAAAAAATGAATCGAATCGTAGTTGTTTGTTTCGGTTTCGATTTTGCCCCTTCAAAATCGAGTCGAACCGAATAAACTGAACTAATTGAAATATGATATTTTATTTGTTAAATGTTTGGCACTGATCGTAATCTCACTAACTTTATTTGTGTTATACGTATTACCTATTTCTTATTAAATGTTAAATTATTATATACGTGGTTTAGATTAGTTTATAAATACATTTACATTTTCATTCTCAATAATAATATAGCTACATTGATCTATTATATCCTTTATGTATGTATTTGTTATTATCTTTTGCATGATGGTGATATGTTTTTGTTATTTATTACTAGTTTGTTTTTATGTAATCTAAAAATTTTATATTCACAAAATAAATAAATATCCATCTCAACTATGCCACTTAGAATTTACATTCTCATGAACTTTTTTCAAACTAGTCACAAAAATGTAAAATAAGAATATATACACTTTTGTTACAAAAAAAATTGAAAAAAGTAAATTTTTTCTTGCACATATTCATATTATTCAAGATATTTTTTCCCTCTTTTTTTTACTTGTTCTAGCATGCTTGCATTTTTAATGCAATATGTTTGATCTCCCAAGTCCCAAGTCCCAACTATCCTATCATTTTAAATCAAATGACATTTTTAATAAAAAAAAACGAAATTGAACCGAGATAAACTGAACTAATCAACTCGTAGTTTCAAGTTTTGAAATTCAAAATCGAACTAATCTTTTTACTTGGGTTCCGTATTTGATTTTGCCTCAAAACCGAACCGAAAATACGAAATGAGGACTGCAAATTTAGGAGGGACAAAACATTCAAGGTGAGGATGTAGAATGTAGTAATATACTTCATGTTTGATTTACTAAAACTAAGGTACATGATTGCAAACATTAGAATCGTGCAAGATCATTTTGGCAGCATTTTCTATATTCGTAAAACATTTTAAAAGAACATTGATTGCCACATGAAATAAAATGTAGAAGCAGTTTGGTTGAAATTTACTCAAAAAAGAAGTTAATAATATCAATCTTAAAGCAGTTATTCAAAATAAAGCACGTCAAAAAAAGTTAAGCAACCAAGAATGTTGGTAAACTTTGGTAAGACTGATGTAAACCTTTTTTATTAAACCTGTACAGGTTTTAACATTAAAATTAAGCACCCAAAATAGAACTTCAATGGAGCCATATATGAGAGTTATATTATATCACTCACCATGGTGATATATTGATATTACAGAAATCTATCACTCTATGAGAGAGCTATTATATAATATATATGACAGCTTGTTATCTTGTGTAAAATGCACATGATGGATTTAACAGTATCTTATGATAGGATGTAGGAACACTTGTAATGACATAAGAAACATTATAAATCCAGTCCCCATATAGTACATAAAACCAAGTGTATTACTTGTTCTTTGTTATTACAATTGTTATTATCATCACTTGCTGACTTGCATATCTAAATATCTAATTACCTAGCGTTTAAAATATCTACATAAACATGTCCAAAATCATTCAGAACTTTACTTAAACTCAGGGATCCCTTCATTAAGTTAGTTTAAAGCTTGATGGAAAACATGAAGATTTCTGACTTCTGAGAGTCAGGGATTGTTGTTGGCAATTAAGATAACAGTACAAGTGTAAGGCGAACCCAAAATTTAGCAAATGTGTAAAGAAGTATTAGAGTCGAATGGCCAGAGCTGATTTTCGGAGATCATATTCACAACCAAAGTGATGCTTAATTTTACTAGACCCTTTGGACAATTTACCAAACGACTAACGTATGAAGCAACTAATGTACATGAGATTCTATTTCTAACTCCCGCAGTTTGTAATGTATAGCCTACATAAGCTAGGGCCAAGCACGTGTATTCCTAGACCACGCCATTCATTAATAATAGCAGCAACAAATGGAAACTCTAAATGTGAAATGTATCTAGCTAGTAGTTACTACTGCTTCCAATTTAATGACAGCCCCTTCGGCGTGATGAACTTAAAGAATGCTGGTGAGGTTTGCTTTCAGAATCGATCCTATCTGCATACATTGGCAACCGAATGATATCATGGATTTCACCCAACAACACGTCCTCCGTGATATTGTCTTTGATACTTCTCATCACCTGGGTTTGATTCATTCACAAGATAATTATTAAAAAAGATCCAAGCTTTAATGCTCAGTTTGGTAATTATGTTTATTACTTACCAGCCAGATTTCCCTACTAATTTTTTCTTTCACGCACTCAATTGGTTAATAATTGTAACTTTTTCATATTCTTTTCTCTTTATTGATAAAATATTTTTTCAATAAAGATATATGTAAATAAATCCATATATATTTTTCATGCACTCAATTTGTCAAGTTTTGAGGGATAGTAAAAATAAAGATAAATTTTATCACACTCAATTTGTCAAGTTGTGAGGGATAGTAAAATAAATGTAAAATATTTTAATCTTGACAAACAGGCTCTGAAGATATAGCTACTGCTGCTGCTGTAAAGTATCAACTAATCATATAAATTCTTGCAAACGACGGAATTATAAAAATAAATATGGATTTATTTACGGCGTACCTTCCTATATGTATTGAATTCATTTGGCGTTCCTTTATCTACTCTAACCCTCATGCACACCCACACTTGATTATCAGAATCCCAGGAGCATTCGATGATTTTACCCGAGAGCTCTGCTGGATCTGAAGAATCTGTAACATTTAAAAGGGATTAATTTGAGAAAATAGTCAAAATACAGGAAAAAGAAAATGAAAAGAAGTTGATGAAGCATAAAAAGAAAAAACAGAAACATATGAGAACTCGATCTATTTTTCATGTAACTTTCCGATAAAAACAAATGCATGTTACATGTGATAAATTTAGTTAAACCACCAAATTAAATTAGAAATATAAGTAGGGTTCATGATTGAAGAAGATCTTATGGGCTTTATTTGTTTGACTCAATGGACAGAGAGTACTCCCCACCCCCACCCCACCCACCCACAATGTGCTGGGAGGGCTTCCATATCACAGGATAGAAAGACAAGAGAAGATATATCCAACCTGGGAATACAACCCTGTTCCCGTCCATCAGTTTTTTCTTTCCTCGTTCGTTTAAATAAAGCAGCTCTCTACTATCAATCACCTGTCAGCCAGGGAGATAAAAAAACAATGATACAGAACCGAACACAAGTATGTCAAATCAGAATTTGGACACGCGGGCAGCGATGAAGGAATAAAACCTCAAAGAGGAAATCAACAGAGTTCATCTCAGGGTATTTCCACTTCAAGAGACCCTCATGAGTCCTTGTAACGTAAGGATCATCCCAACCCTGTTTTGGTAGGCAAAACAATTAGAAAGAGAAGTACTTTTATAGACCATGTGACAAAATCAAGTTTTGAGGGATAGTAAAAATAAAGATAAATTTTTATAAGAGAACACTTCTCAGCCACAATTAAAATAAATCAGGCATCAAAACCCACAAGAAAAGAGGAGGATGGATTTCAGAACATGAACAACCTGAAAAATGAGACCATCTGCTGCATGTGAAAGCTTTGGAATGAAGTCTTTCAAGAGTCTAGTGACAGTAGAGAGGAGCCAAAAATCTTTCCTTCTAACCTGGCAAAGCTTTTGGAGATCAGTAGCCGTTCAACAAGAGAGCGCAAAATTGTAAACGCTAGCCAGCTTAGAGCTCATTAAACACTTACCCTAAAGGGTTCCAATTCATATCTGTAAAATGGATTTCTACTTTGGTAAATATTTTGACGTTCTTGTTTCCGAGGGTCAATCACCTCTCTGTCAATCATTTTCCATCGCTCATGAAAGGGTCGCTGTGTTGGATACAGAGAAGCAGACCTTGTCATTGTCAGTAGTCCGGACATTTTTTTAAAGCAGATCAAATCACATCACTAGCAAAAACATTCACCAATGGAAAGACATTTTAACTTCAGAACTCTGAAATGACAGCAGAGCATGCCTACCACCAATCAAACATTTATGCTAACAGGGTGTGCATATTGCGAAGACAATAAGTCTGCCAAGTACTACTAAGTAATTTCCTGGAAG